ATTTTCCTGCATTATTTTCAATTTTAATTGATTTTGCGATAAGAAATAAGATGGTTAAATCATTGTTTATCTTGTACTGTCAAATTTTCTAAAAAAATAATTCTTTACGCACAGCAGAATGCAGACGTAAATTAATTTTTGGAGCGGAAAATACTGGTGATGTGCACAGGACAACATGAGACGCCGTGACAGTTTCCTCGTGGATAGATTAAGAAAGGAACAGAAGTTATGCCATAAGTTTTAATAACACATAAATAAAGACGACGTTATAATAGAGTTCCCTCGCGGCGAGTTTCTTAGGCGAGAGATTCGATATGACGAATATATAACTTGGTTCGTTATAAATATTTAATCGTAAACACATGGAATTTTCCAACAGCGATAGTACATGAGGCAGAAAATAATCAATTTTTCGGATATGTGTGTGCTTGTTGGGATAGGTTTTCAAGAAATTAAGCAATTTTTTAATTGGCTTCTCATTTCATATATTTAAATAAACAATAGACAAAGTATCAATTGAAGTGTCGATTAAGAAAATATTACGAAATATTACGAAAAAAATGTAAATTAATAATTAAAAGTGATAAAACTTTGTTAGCTATTAAAAATAATTAAAGGTTATTAAGAAATACATTTCGACACAGAATGAATTTCATTGATGAATCTCTTGGCAATCTTTTGGTAACCACATATATATGTGATCTAAAAAATAAAGAGAGAAAGAAAGAAAGAGAAGAGGAGGAGAGAGAGAATACGAATAAAGCATACATTTTCATTTTTTCATCAATGTTTTTTTTCCCAAAGTAAATTTGATATTTGAGAGAGAGAACAACAGAGAGAACAATTCTTATAACATACAGATTTGAAATGGAGCACAATCGGGCTCGCTTTATCGTGGTCTGTCGTTGATGTACGCGACGGCTGATCTCGTGTAGCTTATTTTCTTGCTATCCGACGACTTCAAGTCGGCTCCCAAAAACGCAGGCCGCAGAATTTTGTCGCGTGTCGAAGCACGAGAAAAATAAGTCATGAAAACTGCCTTCGCGCATTTCTTTTTCTTTTTTTTTTATTCTTCATTCCAACCGTCACGTCTCTCATGGTATTCAATCACGCCTGGCAAAACTGCCAGAATTTATTCTCGATAAGAGGAGCCACGGGGGTGGAAAGAAAGAGAAGAAACGGAAAGAGGGAGTAAAAGAGAGAGAAAGAGAGTGGCTCGTGTCTCTAATACACGCGGGGGCGCATGTAATTCCAAGGCCGCGCCATATTTTAACATCGTTCCGAGTTACATTATGTTTCAGCAAAATGGTCGGCGCACACGTGGCAGCGCGTCGACGACGGAGAGGGTGGTTTATCTCAAACACACAATCCCACCCTCTCCCTCTCTCTCTCTTTCTCTCTCTCTCTTTCGTTTTAGCTCTTTACTCCCCATATACCAACGACAGGATCAGAGGCGAGGGGATGTGAGAGAAAGAGAGAGAGAGAGAGAGAGCGCAACGACGATAGAAAGACGAGAGGGGCGAATGGAGGAGGCATTGAGGGGGAGAGGGTGGAGAGAAGGTCGACGACGACCCTCGGCAACCAACCCCCACCGTGAGCCACCCCTTTCTCCTTTAGCTTTCGCGTCGTCTATAGAGGGATGGAGGATGGCAAGCCGGCAACGGTACGCGAACTAACGACGTTCTTTCGCTTCTCGAGAGGAGGAGGGTGCGCGGAAAGAGCGGTGGGGGTGGACGAGTGGAAAAAATGGAAAGAGAGGAAGGCAGAAGCAGCCGGTCGCGCGCCGCTCGCGAGAGAGGAGACACCGACGAAGGGACTGCGGCAGGTAATGATGTACCGCGGTAAATTTCCTGCGGAAAATTACACACAAACTTGGCCCGCGGATTTGTCGCTAAAAGGTAATCGTTTACCTTTTTCCTTAGCACGGTTCGCAAAAGTTAGACCAACGCGGTGACGTCTTACCGCATCACTAATCGCGTTAAAAGAAAATTACGATGTTTTATATATCACGTTATTCCGGCCACTTCACTTTTAAACAATTGATACACTATAATCAACTTATCGTACATCACTTTCACTTCGCAAGTCTTCGCAAAGTCTTTTTACATTTATATATAAATACTTATGCTAATTATACGATATCGCGAAAATGTAAGAGATTTCGAAGAGTATTATATTATTACAAAAGTACACATAAAATAATACTTAAAGGTTAAAATATAGCAAAGCCTTTTCAAGTACTCTTACATAAATACTTAATGCTAAATGCTTTATTGAAAATGTATATTATTTTGAAACAAGTGCCACACATAAAATAGAGTAGATTAAAGTGCACAACCAGATTAATTTTCTTTACATATCTCTTGAGCGGATTGACAAAATGAAAAATCAGTAGATGCTTCGTTTAAATCTCTCCGATTAAATCTTTCCTAACAGCGGGAGTAATTGATGAAACGAAAAGTTTCTTAAGTAGTAGATGAAACAAATCATGGGGTAGAAGCAGGCGATTTCTTCCTGCAGTCGACAATACACGACCTACAACCGTGAAGGAGACAGTCGATAATTTCTTCCAGAGGAACCACTCTCCGTGCTCTCTTTACGAAAAGGCCATGCCGAATGAGGCGAACTTTGCATTGTTACGAAATCGAGTGTCGCGCATTTGGTGGACTACCGACAATTTCAAAGTTTTAATTTGAGTTTGCCGATTAATTGAGAACATTATACTTCCGTCCGACAAACTTCCGTTCGACCACGCGAATGTCATCCCCTTTTTTCATCTCCTTCTTCCTACGTCGTTGTACTTGTTAAATCAAATTGTAAGATCAAATCTTGTTCGTTTAATTATTGTGGTTATTCTACTTTAATTATTAGTGATTATTTTCTTAGCTACATAAGAACCGGACTATTTTATTGACTATTAATTTTGCAAACTATCATAATTTTTTTATGAAATATATTATAATAAAGTTACATTTATAATGAAAATATAAAATAAATGTAATAAACGTAGAAATATTGATACTATGCTGGAATAATATAAACTAGCAATAATAAATTAGAAATTCAAATTGTGAGAATAAGAGAAAAGGCTCTTCTTTTGTTCTTTAGTGAATAATTTCTATGTTCTTTCATGTCAGTGACTAATGACTTAATTTCATTTTATCACGTAACGTACAAGTACCTTATTTTTCATAATGTGACATAGATGTAGTAATAAACTGACATAATTACCTAGATAACAAAAATCGAAATAAAAAGATAATTACCATATAGCTTGTTTTTTTTTTAAGTGACCGCAATTTTGACTCCTATTGAATGAGGAGCAAGGAAGTTTTTCTGTAAAAATTACTTAATAATTATCGTAATTGTTTTATGAGTTTTTAAACGGATTAAAAAACGATTTCACAATTTACAATCTGCATTTGTAAATTATTATCTTTGACTTATACTAGATTAGTTGTACACGGATGTATACAAATTTATCGTTTATTTTAGTTCTTAGAGAGGAAAAGAAAGAGGGAGAGAGAGAGAGAGAGAGAGAGAAAGGGAGAGGAAGTCTTTGATATTAACAAATGTATTTATTAATATTATTTAATACATAACTATATATAATATTTAAAATGCCTAATATATCTTCGTGTTCAAAATTACAATACAATAATTACATTTAAATTAATGTTTCTTATACTGTCTATTTCAAGCGAATTATCGCCAGCACAAAATTAAGTATTCTTTACTTTAAGTATTCAAACTTTAATCAGTCTTCGTCTATTTAAAAAAATCTAATTAATTATAGCTTAATTTCTTGGTATTAACTGATCGATTGCAGTAACCGCAAATCCACGCTTATTCGATTATTAGTGATTTCAAACGAATCGAAGCGATATTTGTAGCTTCACCTATGGCTATTAGTAGAATTTCCCGTTTCCCGCGGAAAAGAAGGCACATCCGCGCCGTCCGTGAGTGAATCGATACGGGAGGTGGATGTGCGGGGTCCAACCAGGCCGATGGTGCACGGAGGATAGGAAGTGAAGAGGGGGAGGGGGCACTTTTTGAGGGAGATGTTTCGTCCGTTGCCAGTAGGTTTTCCCCCACCCGAGTCTCTCTCTCTCTCTCTCTCTCTCCCTCTCTCCCTCTCTCCCTCTCTCTATCTTTATCCTTTTCCTTCTCTCGCATCGACCCCTCTCTCTTCGCGAAACTCGCTCGTGTTCACCCTGATCCACCCCGCTCCCACCGCCATCCCTCGCGTACGCTCGGCCGCGTACAACCCCCGCACTACCCTACCTCTCGTGACGTTAACGCCGGAAAAATGGGCTGGAGGGGCTGCAAAGACGTGGCGTGGGCAGTGACGCGTGTGCACGCAGGAAAACTCTTCTTATTTATATGCTCCACGCTGCCACGGAATCGATATCGCGCGTGAATTCTCCCGACGTGCGCGATGTAGGATGAGAAAGAGGTGGAGGAGAAGGCGGTGAAGGAGGAACGAGAGAAGAATTCCTTTTTTTTTCCCGTTTTCCGGGCGAAGTTGACGGCGCACGTTTCGCGACTTTTGTTGCACAAATATAATACAGAAAATTTTTACCTTTAAATTAGTTCGATCATTTCAACCTGAACAATTTGCGTATATTTTGAGTTCCATCAGATAAAAGTTGGGGTTTTTTGTAAAATCAAATGTTTTCGTAAAATTTATAGGAATTTATACGTATGACATAAAAAAAAATTCTTATTGCTGTAAATTTAAATATTTTACGTCAGTAACGTAGACATTATATTTTTTTATATATTTTACTACATTCTGTGATGTTTTATATTCAGATTGGAATAAGATATACATCACATCAATTTTATTCTTAAAAATATGGAGAAGTGATACGCGCGTTTGCATTCTGATTTGTCCACATACGTTGTGTTTTATAAGCTTGCGTAAATTACATTTTCGAATAAATCCGCATGTTACAAGAGCATGGCATAAATTGTGAAATCGTGTCGTCGAGGCAGAGGCAACGTAAGCAATAAAACGCGTTTATTTATGCGCTTCATGCCGAAACGGCGAATCGATATTTTGTGTGAATTCTCGCGGAAAAAGGACGGCACCCTCATGCAATGGCTTCCGTTGTATCAATTTTCCGCGTGGCTCAGCTTCGTCTTCATTCGTGCGGTTTTGCGTTGTATAAATCAAGTAAGTAAACTCTCATACCGCATAAATTATATATTACATGTACTTTTTCATTCAACATCAAAACACATTATATTAATAAATAAATATATGTGTGCCATTGTATATTTCTTACATTTACTTTTTATAATTCTTCCATTTTGTGCTAAAAAATTTTATTTATCCATTAAATGCAAAGAAGAACAATAATATTCACTTCTAGAACATCGCATCATTGACAATAATAATCTCTTCTTTCATTCGAAAATACGATAATTTAATGTAGCAGTCGAGAGAGAATAAAATATAAAAAAATCTTTAAAAGAACCATTACATTTATGTGTAAATGATAATTATTTCTTGGTTATTAAAATTAAAAGTTAAAATGATAAGTGAGATAAATTGTTCGAGCGAATTTTCCCTGCGTAATTCAATTCATATTTTAATACTATTGTATCACTGATTGTCAGTAAAATATTCTTAACAATAAGTATTTACAATGCAATAATATTCTAATAATAGTCTTTTTTTTTATTAATATTATTTTTACTATGCTGCTCTAGATGATTGCAGGTGTCCCGTATCCTTTTATGACGTGACACACATCTTATTGAAATAAATAATTTCTTTTATCATTTAACACGCTAATTTCTACATACACGGCCGTTTTTTATATTCAATATCAAGCTCTGCATCATTCACATGCAAAAAATTAATCTTCCGAATGAAACATTCATCTCTAGAGAGAACATTCAGCAAACATAATTCTGCAAACAAAGAAAGCACCGCCTGAGAACATTTGCTGCGTTCATTCCCTCTCGCGACGGCGCGTCTCGCGCGACAGAATCTCTTCCATTATCTCGCGCGCCTCTCTCCTGCATCAATGCATGACGTCATAAGTGACGAGAGGAAAGAACAGCGGAGGAGCGCGGCACGAATGCGGTGGATGAAAAGTCAAGAGGGAGAAACGCATGGCACTAGGAAGAGACGGATCGGAGGGGTGGCGAGAAGAACGGGATGACGCGAGAAGAGGTGTGCGGTGAAGGAGGGGTGACTTCACAACGGGAAGGCGGATGAAACGTAGTTGGTTCGTATCAGCATAATGTAGATACCAAACTCCTTGCTTCTTCCGAGAGTTTCGAGGTTTCGGAAGAAGGGGGCGGTTAGCCTCCTGGAATACGGGAATCTGCGGGCGGGCGGAAGGAGAAACGGATGAAATTGAAATGGAACTACCCGTAGGAACAGACGGCCCCGCGGGTTTCCGAACCCGACGAAAGATTAAAACGCGAAGGAAAGTTTTACCCTACTGCCTCTCTCCTCTGTGCTACCGAACTATGCCCGAAATGGGAGGGGGTACCGATTTCAGAGTATCTGAAAGGTTTCCTCCACGCCCGCGCGAGGTTGGGATGATACGTTTTTAGGTAGAAACTACGTATAATGTGTAAAAGATACATATAGCCGCTCTTGGATGAAAAGCTCTCGAAGAACTATTGTCTTATCGATTGATTACTGTTATTCGATATGTATTCGATAATACAATACTATTTGATTGATATTTTATCTCGATGATTGATTATCTTAGCAATTATTTTCAACAAATTGAAGACTAACAAAAAATAACGAAATGTAGAAAATTTTTAAGCCATTTAGGATGGTTTGAAAAAGTGCGTTATGCAAATTGTAATTAAATGTAATTATGTACATCTCTCTGCTATGTGTGTTGCAAAGTTAAAATAAAGTAAATAAATGTAAATAAATGTAAAAGTAGCAATGTTTCAGAATTATGTTTTCCTTAAAAAGCTTCCTTGTTAATTGAATATCAGAGAAAATTTACCTTCTGGAATCAAATGGCTTTCCAAGAGAAATTCTACGAAAGAGTATATATTCTTTTAATTTATCTGTCCTTGTCTCTCGTTCCAGTCTCGTCCTTTCCAACGTTGTCCGAGAAAGGCGAGCGCGTGGCGGTGTGAAATGAAATTAATTATGAGAACGTCTCAACAGGTGGGTGTAGGCGTCTTTAATCTCCCCCTCCACCCCGCTGTTCGTCTTCTCTCTCTCTCTCTCTCTCTCTTCTTTTTCTCTTTCTCTCTCTTTCTTCGGTAAGAAGAGATTTCATGCCGGAAAATGAGGTCCAGATACTTTGGCCCATATTCAGAAATGCATTTAAAAAATGTTAAAATTCTGATTAAAGTACACTATCGTCTTTAACAATCATGGGTCAACAGTAATTACAGTTTCGAAACTTCTTCTTGTCTTGTCGATGTCTTAACAATTTGTCAGTAATACAACAAGCAATTGTATTATTAAATATCACATATTAATAATAATAAATATGTATATAATATTTAATTTTAAAAATATAAAAAATATGTTTTAAAAATGTTGGTAAAATTGAGCCACTCGACTAAAAAAATATTTCTGGATACAGCTTGCACTCACACAAATTCGAAGACATACGTTACTTAATTCATTATCCAGCGCTTGATATTTAATGGACTCGAGAATTATGTATTCGCTTATTGAAAATAAGAATTGCAGACTTGAAAAAATCGTGATAGTGACAAGATAACCCGAGTAAAAAATAATCTAAACGTTATTTCCTAATTGCCAAATGTTATCGTTGCGCCTTCCCCGCGCGTGTTCCCCGTTCCCGATGATGCTAGTTCTTGAAAACTTCCCCGTGGAAAAACAGTCTTTGTGTATGCACGCGGGGCGTCAAAGTTTTTACTTCGGCGAATGCATGTATGCAGATTTATGCGGTCTTTCTCGCGCGCGCAGACGAAAGGGGCAACTGAAGAAAGTGCCGTGCCCAGGGCTTTCCCACGTTCGGCACCGACGTGGAAGGTCTACCTTACCCGCGTCAAGGTGAGGCAGGTGCTTAACGATGCGGATGGTGAAGAGGTGACACATATCGATAGCCATTAATATTCGCATAAAGGGACGACGCGACACTGGCTGCGTCGACCGTGCGTATGGTAAGGGATATCGACGTTACGCATAATAACAGCAGCCCCTCCCCGCGAAAGTACTCAAGCTTTAGGCAAATTTATAGATCATTGATACTTTGTCAATGTCCAAGATCGGTAAACAAACCGGATCCCGCCGACATTTACACATTACGACTTAATGATTTTACAAATGGAGGACTCCAATAAAGGAACAATTTATTTAGTCACTAGACTATAATAAAATTAAATTTTCACACAAGTTGAAGTTGAACATTATTTTATCTGTAAAAATTTAAGATATACAATATAAATGCATTAATTTATATATTTAATTTAAGAATTCTAGTTCTAATTCGAGTTCTTTTATACTTTTTATGTTATTAAATTCCTAAATTCTTTGTAAAAGTTATGATTTTAATTAAAAGCAGAGAACGATATAAAGATTTATATAAAGATATGTTAATTAACATAATTTATATAACGTAATTTATATAAAATACCAAAAATAACACTACAATATATACATATATATTATAAACATAATTAAAATTTTACTTTTTACTTCAAAATTATAAAATTATAAATATTTTTGTATCTTTATGTTGCGTATTTCTAACTTTAACTTGTTTGTTAATACATTATAAATCATATTATACGTTATTACTTCAGATAAATTAATAAGCTATGTTAATTGTTAAAACCATATTTAAAGAAAAATATATTTAAACATTATACCTTGAATAATGTAAATATAATCGACGTATAATCAATATAAAGTTACGAGTGAAATAATTCACAAAGTGAATATTATTACGTTCGTTAAAAAAACGTCATTAACTTCCGTTTAGAACTCAATTTCATCAAAAAGTAAGATGCTTAGTTGAACTTTATTAGAGGGTGTCGTATTCTCTGCATGAAAAATATGGAAAGGAGAAAAATTCTTTGCTCGGTCTGGTTCCTTGTATTTCCTGGCGCTCACCGTCTCTTTCCTCCCGCTCCCGCCATTTCCACGTCCTTCCTCTCCCTCTTTTTTTCCTTTCCCTCCCCCTCTCTTTCTCTTGCATCCACCCACGATCAATAGTGTGTATTCTTGACGCGCACACATTGTATCCAAAAGAGGATACGGACACGCGTACGCGTGTATGAATATGCGCATAACATTGGCGATTGAAAATATTTCAATCGCTAATTTTGTTGATAGACGATAATCTCATAGGAATTTTAAAATAATCTTAGCACGAATAATTGTAAAAAACAAAAGATCGCTTGCATTTGCGATACATTTGGTGAGCAAGTTCTTGCTGAAAATTGAAGCAATCTTGTTAAAATTTTATTGAATACTGCTATTTTTCACTATCTATTTTGCTCTATCTCGCAATTGTTTGTTCATTAGATACAATGTCAAATATGTAACTGTTTATATCTTTTCTATGATATAATAAAAAAAAATGCACGTTAGAAGATTCTGTGTTTTAACGTATATACATATTTTATAAGTAATTAATTTTATATAAATAATTATAATTTATATATAATTTATAAAAAAGCAAGTTTTATAAAAACGTATTCTTCGCTGTATCGACCAAAGAAGTTAAAGGCTCTTGCGTAATGCGATGTGTTCGTGTTACAGAAACAATGGAGAAAAACAGATATACTTGTATGCACGTAACACAGATGAAATTAGGAAGTAAAGTTCCATCCTTGCTCTCATTTTTATAGCATCGCGCGATAGTGTGGAAGAATTAAATATAAAATGTACGTAAAGAGAAGGAGAGAAAATCGAGAAGGGGGGAAAATCAACACGAATAGAAAAGCGAAGACAAGGAGCTATAGCGGGAACTCTTATCCAACTGACACCACCGAATCGAAAGCTTTTTTCAGCTTTCCAGCTTTTATATACGCTTGCTCTTTACTGACGAAAGCGCGAGATGGAAATCACAGGGAGCGATCATTTTATTTTTGCATCGCGCACACGCACGATTAGGCGCATTTACATGATTCTATGTATTTATACGACTAAACTCACAACTAAACTCATTATTCGATTTTTTTCTACATTGCACATTGCAATTTTTATCGCTTCTTTTACTTTACTGTATTATTCTCTGCCTGCGTATGTAATATTATTTGTATATCTAATATTTAACGATGTATCAATCAAGACACGGAGATAATTCTTTGAAGAAAATACCCGTGATAGCGGATTAAAAGTATTGTTACAGACATATATCATTATTTGCTACCCTATTTAAATAATAGTAATAATATCATTGACAATAACAATTCTGTCGTACTTTTAATTAATTATTTATATCTTTAATTATATATATATTTCTTTTCTCGTTAATCGCTCCAGTCTTCTCACGTCATACCGATAATTCTAACCGGCGCCACGCATTCGTGCTACAGCGATAACGACCGTCTCTCCACCTTGATTCGCTTCAGCTCACTTCCTCGCGTGCTCTTTTCTCATCCTGCGAACAGGTTTTTGCGGCGTTCCTTTCGCGCCCTCGGATGCCGGTGATGAATGAATCTTGGCGAATCTCCAGGCTGGCGGGTGGAAAAAAGATATCCCAGCCCATGCAGGAATTACTCGAAGACGATGACGTTGTGGGGGTGAGGGGTTGGGCCGAAAGAAGAAACGACAACACGAGTGGTCGGGGGCGAATGGAGGCCGAATGGAGCGGGAGAGAAGTCTGCCGACGACGTCGGCATTTCGTATGATTGATCGAAGCCACTGTAGCTCAGGCAGATGATCGTTAATGATATCTATCGGCTGAGAACCCGATCCATTATTAACGCTGTCATCAATAACATCTTTTCCGCGAGACTCTCATTTACCTTCGTGTGTCTTGAAACGTGATATGGGAAATGTGGGGAGAACCATCAGACGGGGAAAGTCCCATGCAGTTTTACTTACGTCAAACTGTTTTAGAACATTACGCTTTCATGGAATCGAGAAAATCATATATATTGTTTCTCTCTTTATCCTTACTCCGCATATTAGATTATTAATGAAAGATTAATTTTAAAAGAAAGACATTTTATGTCTTGCGAAAAATTACATCGTATTCCTAACATTTTATTGCAAAATTTTATCACGTTTTGTATTAAATACGCTTTGTTTATATAAAAGGAAATTTTGTTTTCCTTATAGTAATTATAATAGTATTCTAAGTAATGAAAAGTATTATAAAGTTTTACATGAAAATTTATTTTATCGTTAGGTATACAATTAATCATTGCAACGTTGTGACATGGTCTTCAATTTTATCCTGTCAGTTATATCCTTAAGATCTTCTTTATGCCTATGTCTCGATCTGAAGGATCTGAACTGATAGAAGGTACTCCCTGTCGACAGATTCGAAGGGAAACATATGCCGAGAATCCAAAAGAGAGGTAGACGTCGCGACGCCTTGGATCGATCGGAGTGTGCGCTCAACTCCAGACCAACATGGACCGGATTTACGGGGCTGAATTGAGTGGAAAAACGAGAACACGGTAAAAAAAAAAGAAAAAAATACGAGTTTCGCCCTATAAACTTGTTTACGCGAACATGCCGGTGTCCAGCTATGCGCGTAAATTCAACAGAGTCATATTAGCTTTGGAAAAATCAGACTCTTTTACATGCTCTACCAAAATGACATTTTTCGTCCGTAACGTTATGAAAGGAATGAATAATTTCTATCTAAATTTTACTATTTATTCTAATCTAATGACTATTCTTTTTTCTAAACATATTGAATAATATATTAGGTCAAGCAAATTTATTAAAAAAGAAAAATCTATTGATATTTGAAAATAACATTAAAATATACCTATGCATTCGCCATTTGCATAATTAAGAGTTTGAAAATTACCACAATTTGTGACTCGTTGATTATGATGTGATTATTAGTTTTAAAATATACTGAATTTATAAATTAATTTTTTCGGATGATTTAAATGAACTTTATGATTCGGATGATTTTAAATGAACTTTATTATTACAATTGGCGAGAAAAATTTTATAATAGAATAATAAATATTATCAAAGAAATGTAATTATAAGCATTTTACATACTTAGACTTTTTCTATTCTTTTTCCGTTCTCTTGATTTTCCCAAAATTTTGTCAAATACATTTTGTGATTATTGTAATTCTAACAAGAACTATAATCGAGAAGTAAGTACGCTATTTCTAAATCACAAAATTTTGAAAATCAAGAAATAAAAAAAATATAAAGATGAATATTTATACATACAATATTATCATAACAATATATAATAAAAATGTTTAAACATAATAATGGATCTCTAATCATTCGTCTTTAATAAATTAATAGAAAAAAATACATAACAGATATATATAAAATTTTTTAAAAACCAACTACAATACAGACATATTTATATACTATAAATATAGTTTCTTGCATAAAAGTCTATTTTTTGTTTTTGATCCTACGAAGAATTCTCGATGCAGTGGCGTCGAAAGGACGAGAACCCTAACCGAGTAATGGGGTGTCGTCGGCAGTCGCGCATTTATAATTTCTGTCCCCAATCCACCCTTCAGCAGCCATTCTTTGTCCTGCATTCTTTCTCTCTCGCAGACTACTAACACGAAACAATTGCTTTTCGTACTGCAGAAAGGAACAAAGCTGTCTGGAGTGGCGTAGGCAGGTTGGCTGAAAAGCGCAAGATGAGCTACCGCGATGTCTCAAGAATCCAATGGCGTTACTCCGACGGACAAAAAGCAGGATGTTCTTTTTTGAAAAAAACCATACTATTATGAGATCTCTAATATTCAAATTCATAAATGGTTATTGAATTATAAATTATCTATTTACGAATACGTACACGTACTTAATATTACAAAAAACAATTGTCTTAATTATCTTCACTATAATACAAAACTTGCACATTCCTTACTTACGTAATTTAATTCAATTGACAAGAGTTAATTATAAATAAAATTAATTAGTTTAAATAATTTTCAACATTTCAATCTAAGAATTTTAAAAAGCTTAACTGGTTCATACATGTCATTATAGTATTTACTGCAATATTAGACGTCTAAATTATTTAATCAAGCTTAAACGTTTCTAGGAATCAATCACTTACAGCAGCTAAGTATTATTTTATCTAATAATTTTATCTAATTATATTTGCATAATATAGATATATTTTATTAAAAAGAATAGAATCATCTTACAATTAGTTCTGTCTTATATAAATAAGCGCAAAAGGAAAAAGTGTCTGACTGACATGATCAGATTCTTCTCGTTCGTTCATTTACAATCAGAAATTTTTCTCAGCGCAAATCGAACCTTTATCATATATTTATAACGTCATTCATTTTACTTACATGTATTTAATGGTATATAAATTGATAAAAGATATGTGAGAAACATGTATTAAGGATATAAGGAAGTCAAAATTTTTATTTATTTGGAATATCCATTTAGTTTGATTCGAGGGGAGACCTTGGACTCGCGTGAACGACGTCTTCAAGAGAGAAGTTCCCGCGGCGAGAACCGGAGAGGAGAACAAAGCGGCGCAAATAACGCGGCGTCCGGTCGTCACGGCGAGAAGCCGTTGGCCCGCGAAACTCGTTTCGACTTAATTTATGCATTATCGCGGCCCAAACGTGCACCCCACCCCGATCTTTGAGGCCCCCTTTGTGCAGTTATTAATGCGCCCGGGCCACTTCATTTTCACCCTATGGCGTGCCAGTGCACGGCGCAGTGTTAGGACTGTTAGGACGACTGCACATCGTACGTCGTCGTCCTACCTGCCGTCCTTCCGGACCCGGACCGATTCGTTCCTGCGTATGCAAATCCTATCGCGTCGATACGAAGCGACGGGAGAAAGCCGGGAGAGTCGGCCGCGCGGGGCGGAAACCGAGTGAGGAGAGATTCTTTCAATATACATCTGCCGCCACGAACAATCGCCGGAAAAATAATAACTGTTTTTACAGCAGAGAGAATACATTGCCAAGCATCAGAACCGGCTCCTCGTTGCAAGGTCGATCGGCAAGTTTCGAGTAGGTAGGAGCCTCTGCGAGCACTCTTGACGAGGCCGAAAGTTCGTTAACTCTTTAAGATATTCTACGCTAAGATGGATTGGCTTACCTCAGTCAACGCTGGAAATCTTATAATTGTCTCTTTAAACAAATTATGTGTTAATAATTTAATTAAATTACAAAAATTATATTATGATAAAATTATTCTGTTCTGTAAATTATATATAAGTATATGGAAATAACTTTTTTATGTTAATATATATTTGAAACAAAGGTTAATTTACAAACTATATAAATTATAGATAATAATAAATGTAAAGAAATAGACATACTCTTTAATATACATACATGTGATGTACATTTACATTTTTTAATGACTTTACATAAAATGATAAAGGAAATTTGTGTAACTGCAATCATATTTACGCGTCCCGTAATTAGATAGGGAGAGTAAAAGTCCATTTGTCTTTAACGTTTCTCACGGAAAATATACGAAAGCAATCAGCCGAACATAACACTAAATTCTAATTTATTCCAGTAATTTGACCGGCGCCGCCACATATTGGCATGGAAATTCATTTTATCGCGTTTATAAATCTCTTTTAGAAGCTTAACGCGACGTAATCGAGAACGTGAGATATTTTCTAATGTGAACATTAAACTCTCTTACGTAAGCTTTGAGAATCACTGAGTATGGCAAATTAGATATCTGTTTTACCTCTTTATAGTCGATAATAGAGAGAACTGCAAATAGGTAAAGGTGCTGCAGGATATGCTATCACGACTGAATGAAATGCGTACCCTCTGTCGAGAATTGTTCGAAACTTGTTTATCATTTATAGTCGGTAATGTTTATACGTGATATATATATATATAGGGTGTAATACAAATACTGAATACTGTTTTATTTGTTATTCTTTTCTCAAATAATATATCCTGTTAAAATAATTATAATTTTAGAAAAATTTAAATAATAATTAAAAGTTAAAATGTTAAATTATTTCATAAAATAGAAATTAGATATTTAAAAAAATGAGAAAAAAAATAATTTCTATAATTTCTCATAAATTAAATATTTAATTCTTACAGAAATATAATTAAATAATAAATTCAAAATTATTTATAACTAATTTTTTCATCATATTAAAGTAAGTTTAATCAATTATCGCGTACTTTCTTCCGCGCTGACTCCAAAACATTCTTTGATAATTTTTTATTTTTATAAAATAATAAATAGTTTTAATAGTATACCAACTAATTTTATATAATAACTTTTTGTTTTAAAAGTTACAGTTTAATTTGATTCAATCTAAATCTAATTTGGAAAAATTATAAAATGTTTGTAAAATCGATATCTCATATTAGGTAATAGAAACGCAATATATTCGTAGTTAAGATAGAAAAAACGTTTAACACATTAAAATTATTATTTACAATAGTTTTATATTGATTGTGTAGTATTAATAAGGTAATTAATTGTTATCAATTACTAGCAAAAATTAAATTCATTTAACACAAATTTCAAAGAAAAAACATACTTTAAGAATATTTTTTAACATGAAATGCTTGAAGGCGTAAGTCTTTCAGGCAGGACGCTAATAACGAGTCCTCGCGTTCTCTTGTTGAAACGTAAGTCCCAGATTACCTTACACGTTAATTACGCAGTAATTAACTCTCGTCGTCCTCCTCTCGGCGCCATCACATGCGAGGCTAAGTATGTATATAGTGAGAAAGTCGATGGATCGTGATTTGGCTTTCTTCAAGCCGAATCTTTCGTAAGCTCTGATCGCCGCCATCGATGTGGAATAAAAGGTGACGATGGCGTTTATCGACCCTCCTACATCCAACCCCGCGACCCCCAAAAAAGACGCAACAAAATACGACGTTACTGGTTCCAACTCGGCGCCATTAAAACTTCATTTCATGCTCGTTATTCGCCCGTACTTTTAACGACCCCGATAAACGGGCCATGTCAGATTCTGATGCGCAGCAATTTCGACAAATTTGTCACTGTAATTGGCATTATAAATTCTTTCACAAATTCAAAGTGTTTATTTTTGAGTTATTATAAGTAATTGAAACAAAGAACTTTCCAAAGAAGAAGTTCCCGAAACGTAAAAGCTCTTAAAGGTTACTTAAACTTAAGATTTTTTTCTTTTAAGATTTTAAATCAAAATTTATAATTTTTATAATATATCAAACTTTTTGTTAAGACAAAATTAGGCTGGCAGTTGAAACGGATTACGATTCGTAATCCGTTTTTATTTTAAAACTGTCCTAAGTAATGTCTCAAGATGCTAATATGACTCTATGACCGGTATTTATAGTCGGATCTTATATTTTAAGTATAGAACCAATCAGAGCCCCGTATTAGCATCTTAATATTATATATTAAAAATGAATACTTAAAATGGTCTTATACACTACTTAACATTACTTAAGATGATTTTAACATTACTTAAGATTACTGATCTTAAAATAAGAATGGACTATCGTTCTATGATTGGTTTAAAATTTATGTTGATAATTAGATGAATAAAATTGAACTCGATTCAAATTTTTATTCTTTATTTAATTTTGAATGGATATTATTTTTTTCTATACTTTTGAGAAATCTGTTACTTTATTTTAATATTTTATAATATATATATACATAAAATAAAAACACTATTTCCTATAAAAATCTTATCGTCACATAAACAAAATCTGTTCAAGATCTAACTCTTTATATATGTATCTAATTATTTATTTGAAAAAATTTATTTCATCTTTTCAATTATAATTGAAAATTTATTGAAAATAAAGCGGTACTTTAATTACGTAAAACATTTCAAAAAGCAAAATTCGAAGTGCCACACTTATTACGAACGGCAAACTAAACGTCGTGGGTAACTTATAGATGTCTCGATTCTTGCGGTATCGCAAAATTGAAACAGGCCAATTGAAACAGGTAACAGAAAGCGTTTTCAGCAACAGGTATTGATACCCTATTATTCTCGCTTCATCGATTCGATTGGACCTAACTCTCATGCATGACAGGTACGCGGCACGCGCGCAGGTAAAAATCACTGCAGGTAGACATCAATTACCGATGCAATGATGCTCGTGCCACACTTGAAACGTCAATAGTAACTTTAGACACCACGTTTTAGGTCTTAGTATTTGAAAGCATGTTTAGGCTAAAGAGACTTATTTAACGTAGGTTCTCGCTCATGTGAAACAGGTACAATTTCTTTAAATAGTAATAAATAATTATTATGCTCTGATATAATAATATTATATCAGTATTTAAAATTCAAAATAACACTATATATATATATATATATAAATTTAAATAATATAAGATAAAAATAATAAACAATTGTAAACATCGAATTATTTCTTTTATATAGAATTAAGTTTAATAATTATTTGTAAATCTGAAAACTTGAAAGACATGAAGCTACTAATTATATTTAATACGGGCATCGGGGCAATACAAAACACAAGAGACGCCATTGCACGAAAGGGAGATACGAAATGTGTTGCTGGTCGAGGGTCCACCCTCTAAACTCCACCCCTACCGCCCTTACCTAATGTACGACGAGCTACGAAGTACATGCTCTTTTATTTGAAGACCGGTAAAGATTTATGAATAGTCTAATTTGATAATAATATGTGACAATATTGTATTTGATGTTTTTTTTTACCAGTTATTTATTAAAATAAATAAAAGTGAAAATTGTCTTAAAGCAAGTTTTATAAAAACACTATATCCTTACAAATTAATATTAATGGTACATCTAAACAATAAAATGCAATATAAAAATAGGTAATAACTTAAGAAATTAAAGAAACAAAAAAAGACATTGGAAACTTTATTCATTAAGCTTTCATAGAGTCAAAGAATTTT